TGCTTGGCCTGCTGTGTTCATCCAGCCCTGCACCTTGTTGTCCTGAAGGAACTTCTTCGGTCAGAGTGAGTAATGTGTCGGAGTCACAATGCAGTTGCTCCGACGCAACTAATTGCCAAAAATGGGAGAATTTAAGAGTGGCCCACCGCTTTCTCCCGTGCCTGAACTTTTCTTAATTCTTAAACACTCCTAATTAGTTAGTAGTGCAAAGTCAGAAGTCCCACGACACCAGGTTATAGCCCAACAGGTTTATTTGGAATCACACAAGCTTTCTGAGCGCAGCTCCTTCTTCACGGCACCTGGCAAAGGGGCTGCACTCAAAGCTGGTGGGATTCCAAATAAACCTGTTGGGCTATAACCTGGTGCTGTGGGACTTCTGGCTGTTCACTCCAGTCCAACACCTGCACTTCCACAGCTGGTATGGGCAAACAAGGCAATGTCCTTGTATCTGTTTACTGGTCCGAGATACGCCTTGTATTCTACTTCAAATCAATCTCCGGAAAGTTAAAACGGGAAACGCATATTTGAGTGAAGTTATGCATTGGATAATACCATGTCCATCGTTTCTTCCTCGTACTGATTAATAACGTGCAAATATTTCGGTGTTATTATCACCCTTTCCTTTACAATCACCTCGTTTCAGCAAATCTTTCCTGTAATCTTTCATTGCAGCAGCGCAATTATACAAGCAGATCAACAAGTAATCTTAACCAAAGTCTCTTACACTTTCCGGAGTCAATGGCATAGCATGATGTCCCTCAAAGACCTACATGATTCTGCCCGACTCCCCAGACCTCAACCCTACACACTGCCTGCAGAGAGCTCAACGTGGCGAGATTGAATTTCAGATGAGGGTGGTAAGGAGCAGGCGAATCCTCAGGCGTGTGTTTCCAATTCAGTCCATGAAGCTATTAAAACAATTGGGCTTTATTCACGTAAAAAAAGGGAGGCGGGAAAACACACAAAAGGTATGAATATAACAGCTGTAGGTGAACATTTATTGGTGCAAGAAAAGTAAACCTGCGCGCACACACTGAATACCAGTTGATCTGAAAAAGTCAAACCCATCAGTTGTGACCGCATTTGCTGTTCTTTCAGCACGAGGCTGTCTGAAGTCACTTCAATCCTATCAATGAAATGACTGGTTCCATAAAAGTGGCATCTTTTCATTAAAAGTAGGCACTTCAATAACGTCTCCGGCTGAAATCTTAATAAACCTGCAATTCTCAGAATTAAACCAAAAAAAAACACACACAAATACGCGAAGCGACGCATCCAAAGTATTCCCTCAGGATCTTATCCATCTAACAAAGGACGATGGAGTGCCTCCGGTGTAACTGTGTGTGAACAGTTTTCATGGTAACCGTACTCTTTTACTGATGAAAATTGTCAACGCTCCCTGGAGAGAAAATGGCCGCTTATTACTGCCCGCAGTGTTTTAAGATTAAACTGGAATTATCCGCACAGACCGTGAGGAAAGTCAACAACACTTAACGCTTAGTGATTCGTTGCCTAATTTGCGCTAATAACCCACAGCAAAACATCTCGCAGGCTAGGCAGTGAAAAATCTAGATAACTGCATCTAAACTATGCTAACTTTGTCCAAATGCGTGAGAATCAACATTTTAAGAAAATGTAACAGAGACATCATTTGTTCCAGTAATGGCAATAGAACAAGCTATGAAGAGGAGTCTGCACAATTGGGAGATGGTGTGAAGACATTTCCCGATGGCAGAATATATTACCATGTATTTATCAGGGTTTCATTGATTTGTTTGACCGCACATCCATGGTGGCAGAGTGATTAGCATTGCTGTGTCTCAGCATCCGAGTTCAATTTCAGCCTTGACCGTTTTGTGCGGAGTTCCCTCTGCATGAGTCTAAATGGAGTGCTCTTCAGAGGGTCAGTCTGGACTCTTGGGCCGAATGGCCTAGCATTTGCAGGAATGTCAGCTTCGCCAGCCTGTGAATACATCCTTTAACTGGAGGTCACTGCTCTCCCAGGCAGGAGTGCGGGCCTGTATTAAATCGCCGCCTCTCTGTGCTTGGCTGTGTGTGGGGCTAGTGAAATGTGCAGTCCCTGGAAGAAATCAGCCGCTTCAAAGATGTGCCACGCCCAAAGGAAAGATGTCGCTGGCTGTGGCCATCGCCAATTCTCTCCATGGTTGACTGACTTGATATTCCCAGTTCGGGTCCTGGAAACTGCGAACCAGTGGTTCGACAAAGTTCATTTGTCCACCGCATCTAATTTCCTCGAGGCCATTATATCCTCTCACATAAGCCCCAGGCGCCAGCGGGGACTTCAGATCACAACATAATATTGCACAACATCATATGTACACACACAACCTTACTACTAGCTGCACCTTTCTTGAGAAAGCAAGTGTAAACACAATGCTGGGATGTGAAGTACATTTGATCGGGTAAGATGATCTCATCCTGTAAATGTGACATGCTTCTTCGAAACTGCAAGTGATATTTAAACATTTAAATAAGACGGGCTTTGCTCCGTTGTTGTGTCAGCATAGTCTGCTCTCTTTCTCATTCATTTTCATCAGCGTGTTTCCAGACTCTCAATCCACGATATGCGCTGAAGTATCTTTAATTGGCTAAGAGTATTGAGCCCGTCGCTTCGTCGACCCCAAGCTTCGGTAAAATGAAATCAAAGACAGCCTTGCCCTCGCTGTCCATGCGGTCAACCTGAAGCTGAAACATGGGCGCTCTCTCAGGTTTGAACCGGCGATTCAGATGAGGCAATTGTGGAGAAATGGAAGGTCGATTTGGGACAGATTGTTTCAAAAAGGTGTTTATTAAAATTAAAGCAAGTCTGACTGACCCCGTCGCCAGTGTTGCGGCAGGAAATAGCTCCCAGGCTCCGGGTGAGTGAGTGAGGGAGAGAGTGAGGTTACTTGCTAAGGGAAATCTGGCTTGCATGCAAATTGATTCCGCGCAAGACAGGGCTTAGATTTAGGGTGTCCACTTCAAAAAAAACTCGGGCTCATGCAGTTCAGGGTGTGCGGTTGTTTAACGAGAGACACCAAAACAAACAACATACTGTTTCTAGAAGCCAGCCTCATGACCAATCGTGTCAATGAACATTAACCGTGCGGTCCGCTTAAAACTAGACTGCAGCTAATACCCAGCAAAGCTGCTCTCGCCAATCGAGGAGCAGCCGCCTCCAGCCCTTTTGCTCATGATTTACTGCATCAGGGGTACACCCTGCTCTGGCCACAATAAGAAAGCAAAGCTTACCAATAGTTGTTTTGGAGCCTATACACCCCATAATCGGCGCTTTTAGATGATAAATTAACCCTTGTTCCAGACTGGAAACATTTCCACAGTACCTCATGGAAATTGAACTCGCTGGATCAGAACACTTAATACTTTCCCGGCAATGAATGCGCAGCGTCGGGGGTCTTACAGAGTGGCAGTGAACGGAGAATGCAATCGCCTCCTGTTGGGTCTGCTCTGGCTCTTGTACAATCGGCCTGGCACGTACCAAACGCCACTTTACGTAGTGGTGCGGCTAACTCCTGAATCAGCCGAGGCTACCAGCGTGATCTTTCATGGGCGGTGGTAGTGAGGGAAGCTCTCTCTGTCTCTGTCTCCTTCTGCAGCGTGTTGGGATTGGACAAAGCAGCGGCTGACAGTCCCTATCGGCAGCCTGCTGAAAGTGCACTGCTAATCCATCGGCAGAGACTAACCCAACTCGGACATTTCAGCATGCACGCTTTTGCTTGAGGTTCTCTATGTTGAGAAATCTTTCCCCCTTCCCCCAGTCATTGTATAGGCATCTTCCCCGTGTGTGTACGAGAAAGGGGGGGGGGGGGTGGCTAGGGTGCTGCCTTTCGTCTGTCTGTTAATTAGACTTTAATGCCGTGTTGAGTAGAAGTACTGCCATCAATTAAGAAAGCGAGTTATCTTGTCTGCTAGAGACACACAACCCCGGGTCGTCTTAATTGCAATGTATTTTGTCATTGTTTTCTCACGCTTGCACCAAATCAAGTCACTGTCACGCACGGGTTCAATGAACAGAGGTCTGAATGGCCATGGATATTTATACAGCACAGCTGACCAAAAAAAAACTATTCAACTTCGATACATTGCAGCTTGAAATTCAGTAGTGTTTATATATCTTGATGTGATAAGGTAGGTGTTATTGTGCTCGAACCCTTCCTGATGGGATTTGGGGAATACTAGAACACTTCCTTAAGGTGCATTGGAACCTGCACTTCGTTTTGAGGCTCACTGCGTTAACAACGCAATAACAGCAGTAACCTCTTTTCTCCCCCAGGATACTAAAACAAGGGGGTTCTCCTTAGTTGGATAGATTAAAGAGGAGTCACTAATGTGAGTGCTTTAAGCCCACCGGAAAAACTGCTTCTGAAAAGTGCCCAGGTGATTCGAAGGGCTTCCTAGATTGTTTGCAATCTATTCACGCCTTTGTCGTGTTAATATGTTTCTTAATATTCTAGATTAGCAGATCCTTAAGCATGTATCAGGCTGTGCCCCTTTGTCGCTGAACCTAGTTCTAGCAGTAAAATTGTTGTGTGATGCACAATGCTTCGCTGAAGGTCATCCCAATATCAGAAGTGTAACCGCAAACAAAAATAAACATTCCGAAATCATATTCGAAATGTTAACTGCTTCTCTCTCTACAGATACTGCCTGACCTGTTGAGTTTCTCCAACACTGTGTTGTTAAAAGTAAAAGCTCTTTCGTCATTAATCCAGCCACATTTAAACATGATTGTCAATATGGAGCCGTGTGATTGCATTAACAGGTTCTTACGAAGTTTCTTTGGCCATTTTGCTAATCATGTTCATTTAGCTTAATGCTTCTACTATTATAAAAAATCATTATAAAACAAATTTTAAAATAGCACATTAGTAAGTTATCAATGAACTGCATGTTTTGGAGCTGCTCAACTGCAGGTTGCCACGTGAAAATTTGAAACAGTGGAACAGATTGAGTTTGACCAACACTCAATTCCAAAAAGACAGAGTACCATGCTTTCATTATCAAAAATGGAATTAGCACTGACCACCTATGAAGGGATTTGCATATGAAATGGGGCATGGAATTACATCATATTCCCCAAGATGATGGATTATAACAAAAAAGTTTAAAACCTTGTAGAAATTGCCAATGTGTCAATTTCTGTGCTGCTGTAGTGTGTCCAGTTAAACGTCCAGAAGTCTGCTCTCACACCTAGCAAGCAGAGATGACTATTCAGTGCTAGATCTGCACTGTACCCTGAAAGTAGAGTAAAATAATTCATGTTGTTTCTGATATCACAATAGCTTTGAGCTTTGCCTTTTTGCAGCGTCATATCTACTGGTGTGTGGATTCCAAAAAACAAACAAGGTTAGCTTCGCTCCATTGGGTTCAAGTAGTTCCTGCATCAGCTGATGAACGTCAGGTATCCAATTTATTCTCTGGCACAACTCCTCAGTGAGAACTGACTTCCGTACACTTGCTATTTGAGCCTAGTTTCTAGGGGAGGAGCATTTAGTTATTTTGGACAGAAGCTGCTGCACTGGCCTCAGGTGTGGAAACTGCTCAGAGCACCTCATGGCAGGATAAGCAAATTGGCTATGTCACCAGTTTCAGAAATAAGAAAAAAAACACCTGATTTTAAAGCAGATGATGTTTACCCAACGGGAAAACAGACTTTAAATTGTAAGTGTCCCTCTCACACTGCTATCCCTTGCACCCATCTTTACCAAGAGGCATATGGTGAGGAAATACCATATTTATTTCCTTCATTTCCACCAAATATAGTCTGCCAGCCTCAAACACAATGCAAATTCTGATGAGCAAAAATGGGCAAAAAACCAGGGCTACCCCAAATACCACCCAGATTGTTCTGTTTTCTTAAGCACATGACAGAGAAAATCCAGGGCACTTGATTGTAATATTCTTTTTAATGTGAATATGTAACCCCCAAGAGCAACACATATCAACAAATACAATTGATTTTCCACTTCATTTCACTGCCAGTTTTCTCCCTCCTCTCCTTAACATGGTAATTTCAAATACAGTTCTGCATTTATCAGTTATCTTCTGGCACTTTCCCAAAATGGAAATTCTTTAGAATTCCTCCTTCTTTCCCATGGGCACAATCCTGGTAAGGTGACATAATTCAGCACAGACAAAAAAAAAACTTACCCCTAGGAATCTCTTGATTTTCCCAATGGATGAACATAGGAATTTGGGAAGGAGGTGGTTATGCTAAAACCCTGTAATTTTATCAACCCACTTAAATAAGCATTGCATTTTCAGTGAATACATAATTCACGATGTAGATGGAGAAAATACATTATTTCTGTTGTAGCAACACATGGAAAGGATGTAGAATAATCTGTAGCAATATGGAAAACCAAATAAATTGAAGATATAGTGATTTTTTTTTTTATTGATTTAAATTCCTTGAGCAGGCAGCCACTTCATTTGCAACAACAAATAAACTGCCCCTTCCTCATTTTACAAGGTACACCAGTGTTTTGGTTGGTTCAAATGCCCATCTGAGAAATACCACTGCTCCTTAACCTTAGTACTAAACAAAATGCTGCCAGAAACTGACCTGGCATTAAGCTATTGACACCCACATCCCATGTATAAACATTTTTTAAAAAGAGCCCATAACTAAAGTTTCCAACTGTAAACCAATGAGAAACAATTCACTAGTTTTCAAACAATGCTATCAATTAAGATTGTAAACAGTAAACACATTCACCAGGTAAGTGCAGTTCACTAGTTTTGGGTTCAACTTAAGTTTAATTTCTAAAACTTGTTCAGTTGTTTGATGCTCCCTATGGCAACATTACTTCTATGAATTTAGTCAATATCACATTTAGAATTTTTAAAAGCAAAAAATAATATGTTATTGTGTCTCAACAACAAGCAGGTTTAAAAATAAATTTGTGGTGTTTGGTGTTACAAAGTCAGATACTATAGCATTGCAGACAATGGTTTAGTGCTAACTATGGGATCATGCAGTTACTGCTGAGTTGATCCTTTCCTATAATTGGCTCCAGTGGTTTTATTTATGCTGTCAAACAGGTTTTAAAATCATTCAATCAGATGTTGACATTGTACAAAATGTTCACACATTGAAGTACACTTGTGCCTATGCACTCTACATATACAAGACAAATGTTTTACTGCACTAATGGCAGTATAAAAGGCACACAAGAAACAATGAAATGACATATGCTTGAAAGAGATAGGAATGTATACAAGGTATCAAAAGCTGACAAAAATAAACTTTTCAGTGTAACAAATTAACTTCATCGATATACATATATCCATTACAGTACGTCCATTTCATGCTGTTGATCATTGCTGAGAGAGTCAAATGCACAGGAATGACCGCCAAGAGAGAACCAATGATCTTGAGATAATTATGAGGAACAAATGGGAACACCACAGACAGATCAAACTATATCACCCAGCTACCAAAGAAATCATGGACAAGTCAAAAAAAACTTTCAAAACTGTCAATGGTGATGTTATTGAATCTGATATGATGAAATATTACATGTAAATTAATCTATCTACAAATACATCTTTTAATTGTGAAGTAAATATTTTTATAAACTAGCGGAAATTAATTCGAGTTATAAGATGCAGTCTTTTTCAATACATTCGCAGGGTTCAGGGCTAGGCAAGCATCTATTCTCTTAATTGCCCAGACTGCAGTTAAAAGTCAATAACAATGGTGGTCTGCTATGGCGGGATTCAAAGCCACGTCCCCGGGACATTAACCTGGGGCTCTGAATTACTAGCTTAAGGACGTTGCCACAACGCCACTGTCTCTCCTTCTCGGAAATGGAGAGGTTATGGAAACTCCACGTGACGTTAAAGACAGTAACGAGGCTGAGGTATAGTGTGGCGAATATAGAACTGGTAGGTATTGGTCATAGTACGGCCACACCTGTCAACTAGAGCGCACTAGAAAATATCATCCCTCATCTTAATTTATTTCACATTGCGGCTGACCCCATACTGTTTGATCAAATTCATTTGTTACTTAATTCGGAGACAAATCCAGATCATCGCGACCATTTTACATACAGGTGCTACCTGAAATTTGCAGGTTCAACAACCAATCTGCTCCCTATAAACAGAAGAATTTCTACCCTGTTTGAAGGTGCAACATCAGGCTCTCTGTGGATACTCAATGCTCGTACGAATTCTGTGTACTGTATACTAGAAAAACATGGGATTGCAATGACGAAAATCTGACTTTGGTATGCTTACATAATTCAAGTGTGATTTATAACACTAGTAGATTTTTTTTGGAAAGTTGCGTGTTATTTATCTTGATAAAAACACTAATTAATGACATGTTGCTGGTGTTAAACGTTTAAATAGGTTTTAAATTTACAACAAAAGATGTAATTCGACCTTTAAATTACTTGAAAGAACATTTGAAGCCTTTGGCACTAGGTCGACTTTAAACTTCTGAAACCCAGAAAATAGCTCTCCAACGTAATTTATAAGCTTTTAAAATTAAATGATTATGGCTACGGACACTATAGTTCTTACTTTAATATATCAATAAATAATGTGATCAAATCCATCCAAGTGTTATCTTACAATTCAACATCATTTCGAACTTGTGTGTTTAAGATGTTAAATAAATGTTATGACGTAGAATTGATTTATTTTTGTTCCGTCCATTATGCAATCTCTATATTAATTGATTTATAGTGAAACTGGCAAAACTGTCACCATCAGCCGATCTTTGCTGCCTAGAATTTGTAGCACCCCTTGAGGCCGATTACGTTCAATAACTGAGGATCACTCGCTCTTGAATTCATCACTACTTAGTTCACAGTGTAAAGCTGTGCAGTTCACAAGTAAATTGTGTTGCAGTAGTGCCCCCTATGGAATTGAAGGCCTTATCGCTGAAGACGTTTTATGAAAGGATCGACTTGGGGTTCAGATTTTTTAAATTAAAGTCTTTCATGTACGCTTCTCTTAGTAAGCGTGAATGTTTACATATTTGATTTTGAGGTAAAAGCAATGGCCGGGCTGTAAATTCGAATGTAAAACGCCAAACATCGCTGAAAAAATTCTTCTCCTCCTAGTGACTCCGAGGCTCCTCAGGCCACAATTTTAAAAGAAACAAGATCTCTTCTGTTTCTATTAAATTAAGGTAGTCAATCACTGCAGGATTTATTACATGTGTCTGAACAAAGCTGTTTTTAAAAAGAACATCATTCTCGGACACGGAGGTCGCTGTTTTTTTTATTGTCCATCCCTAGTTGTCTTGGAGAAAGCGGTGGTGAGCTGCCTTCTTCTTATAAAAACGCACTTTATTCATAAAATTTATAAAAGTACAGCATATGACAATTCTTGACTTTACCTGAAGTGCAAAGGAGATCAAGTTTTAAACTGGGACCCTGAGCTGTCTCTGTACAATTACTGTTTAAATTTACGATATTAATTTCACGTCAATCATACAGCCTGAGAGACCTTACATGGTTTCCAACCTCTCAGTGTGTACGTTTTAGGCAGACCAAAGTGTACTCTGGTGTTGTTAATGTTTATCTTGGTGTGCATCCCTGAGATCGGTAAAGCACAGAACCCCACGCTATGAGAGCTGTTCAGGATGAACCTCCATAAAAGCCATTTCCCAGATCTGCTTTGCAAAGGCATATTTCAGTCTTGGGATCAGTGTTCAGAGAGGGTGAGACTCCAGGCAAACAGGACGGAGCTGACAGAGATGTTCCTTTTCACCACCAGCCAAGTTACGTCTCCTGTTTGTTTAAATGAGGCATTTTGTGAAATGACTTTGACAGTCTGCTCAGGAAATCAGCTTACAAGATCTACCAGCTACGTTTCCAACAGAACCTCGGTGATACTACATGTGGACTACTGCCTGATGGACATAAGGTCAAAGAAGATTTTCTGCATAAAGTTTTCCATAAGGGTCAACTTTTCACTGTACTCATTTGAGTACATGTGACAATAAAGCTAATTCATAAAGATGGTACTGCGCTGTTCAAGGGAGCGGTCATTGACAACTTGCAACATTGGAACCGGTGGAACCTCAGCATGTCGTCCAGCAGAGGGCTGTGAAGACGCTGATTGGCAGTCGCGGTGCAGATTTGCATCGGTACAATCACCACTACCAATCAGTGGTTTGCAGAGGGAGTGTTGTCAAAGGGCAGTTAAGCAAGGGAACGTGAGTGATCTTGTTTTGCTGCATGTGACTATAAGGGAGCGAGCTGATGGGTGGGTAGTGGCAGGTAAGTCCTCACAACTTCTATCATATGGTTTTTTTTTACTTTTAGTCTGTAAGGGTAATACACAGACCAGGAAAGAAGGGCTACAGATAACTGGATTTGCTTCAATCTAATATAAAGTACTCTCCAAGGTATAATTTAAAGAGGTAAACCATGGAAGGAGAGCTCAAAGTCTTGGTTTGCTCCTCTTGCTCTATATGGCAGGCTGGAGACAGTTCCAGCCCCCTGGGTCAGCATATGTGCAGGAAGTGTCTCCAGCTACAGCTCCTGGAAGCTTGAGTTTCAGGGCTGGAGCGGCAGCTGTGGAGCATCCATGAGGCAGGGAGTATCATGGATAGCATATATAGAGAGGTGGTCGCACCACAGGCTCAGATTCTGCAGGCAGGAAGGGAATGGGTGACCATCAGACAGAACAAGAGAGATAGGCAGGTAGTGCAGGAATCTCCTGTGGCCATTCTCCTCCAAATCAGATATACTGTTGAGGGGAATGGCCTCTCAGGGGAAAGCAGCAGCAGCCAAACTCATTGCACTACAGTTGGCTCTGCTGCAGAGGGGAGGGGTAAAAAGTGTGCCTGGGCAATAGTTATAGAGGACTCAATTGTAAGGGGAATAGACAGGTGTTTCTGTGGCTGTAAATGAGACTCCAGGATGGCATGTTGCCTTCCTGGTGCTAGGGCGAAGGATATCTTGGAGCGGGTACAGGATATTCTGGAGGGGAGGGGTGAACAGTGGTCGTGGTACACGTTGGTACAAAACAACATAGGTAAAAAAGGGATGAGATCCTAAAAGCAGAATACAGGGAGCTAGGAAGAAAGTTAAGAAATTGGACCTCGAAGGAAGTGGTCGCAGGATGCCACGTGCTAGTCAGGGGAGAAATGACAGGATATATCGGATGAATACGTGGCTGCAAAGATGGTGTCATGGGGAGGGTTTCAGATTCCTGGGGCATTGGGACCGGTTCTGGGGGAGGTGGAACCTGTACAAACTGGACGGGTTACACTTGGGCAGGATCGGGACTGATGTCCTGGGGGAGTGTTTGCTAGAGTGGTTGGGGATGGTTTAAATTAATATGCCATGGGGATGGGACCCTATTTGAGGAGTCAGAGAAGGAGGGAGCAAGGACCAAAGCAAAAGGTAGAAAAGGGAATAAGAAAAGTGATAGGCAGAGAAACCAAGGACACAATTCAAACAGGGCTATTGAGAAAATAGCAGCGAGATAAACAGTGTTAAAAAGACAAGTTTAAAGGCTTTGTGCCTTAATGCATGGAGCATTTACAATAAAGTGAATGAACTAATTGCACAGATAGATTTAGACAAGCAGGATATAGTTAAGATTACAGAGACATGGCTGCAGTGTGACCAGGGATGAGAACTGAATGTCCCAGGGTATTCGGTATTTAAGAATGAAAGGCAAAAAGGAAAAGGTGGTGGAGCAGCATGGCTGGTTAAAGAGGAAATTAACACAACAGTGGAAAAGGATATTAGCTCTGATAATGTGGAGTCTGTATGGGTAGAGTTGAGAAATATCATGGGGCAAAAAATAAATTGTGGGTGTCATATATGGATCCCCAACTGCAGTGGTGATGTTGGGAATGGCATTAAACAGGAAATTAGAGATGCATGTGATAAGGAAATATCGGTGATCTTGGGTGATTTTAATCTGCACATAGATTGGCCAAATCAAATTAGCCACAATACCGTAGAGGAGGAATTCCTGGAGTGTATATGAGATGGTTTTCTTGACCAAGATGTGGAAGAACTAAATAGAGAGCAGGCCATCTTAGACTGGGTACTGCACAATGAGAAGGGAATCATTACCAATCTCGCTGTGTGAAACCCCTCGGGGATGAGCGACCATAACATGATAGAATTTTTATCAAGATGGAGAGTGAGGTAGTTGATTTGGAGATTAGGGTGCTGAATCTTAATAAAGGAAATTATGAAGATATGAGGCATGCGTATGCCTTGATAGATTAGGGAGAGTTACTTAAGGGGATGACAGTAGATAGGCAATGGCAAACATTCAAGGAACGCATGGGGGAACTGCAACACCTGTTTATTCCTGTCTGGCAGAAAAGCAAAATGGGTAAGAGGGCCAATCCATGGCTTACAAATGAAATTAGAGATAGTATACGATCCAAGGAAGAAGCTTAAAGATTGGTCAAGAAAAAGAATATGTCTGAGGATTGAGCAGTTTAGAATTCAGCAAAGAAGGACCAAGGGATTGATTTTAAGAAGGGGAAAATGCAGAAAGAAAGTAAGCTTGCAGGGAACATAAAGACCGACACTAAGAGGTTGTAGACATGCTCGTTGGGGCGATGGGTTCGGTTGCAAACATTTTGTCACCCTGCTAGGTAACATCATCACTGTGCCTCCAGTGAAGCGTCCGTGTTCTATCCTGCTTGTTTGCTGAGGAGGTTGGTATTATTTCCAGTTCTGTTTCTCAGTGGTTTATACACGGGGTCTAATTCAATGTGTTTGTTGATGGAGTTCCAGTTGGAATATCAGGCCTCCAATAATTCCCTGGTATGTCTCTGTTTGGCTTGTGCGATTTATGGATGTGTCGTCCCAGTTGAATTTGTGTCTCTCGTTGTCCGTGTGTATTGAGACAAGTGTCTCTTGGTGGCTAGTTGGTGTTTGCGAATTCGTATTGTCAGTTTTCTTCCGGTTTGGCCATTGTAGTGTTTCTCACAGTCATTGCATGGTATTTTGTGTATTACTCCAGTTTTTTGCTGGTTTTGAATATGGGATCCTTTTACATTTTTCAGTAGCTGTTGTAGGGTGGTTGTTGGTTTGCGGGCTTTTCTGATACCTGGGGGTTTGAGTAGTCTTGTGGTCATCTCTCAAAATGTCCTTGATGTATGGTAGGGTGATTAGTGTGTCTGGTCGTGTTTTGCCTACCTGTTGTGGTCTGTCTCAGAGGTAATGGCAGATTGTGCTTTTTGGGTATCTATTCCTTTTGAAGATTCCATATAGGTGCTCCTGTTCTTTTTTTGTGTAGCTCCAGGTTGCTGCAATGTGTTGTGGCTCGTTTAACTAGTGTCCTGCTGCAGCTCCATTTGTGGGTGTTGGGTTTGTTACTAGTGTAATTGAGAATGTGGTCCATATGTGTGGTCTTTCAGCATACACTAGTCTGGAGTTCCCCGTTGTTTTTGTGTTCTACCATTCCATCCAGGAAGGGTAATCGGTTGTTGTTCTCTTCTTCTTTCGTGAATTTATTCCGGTAAGGATGTTGTTTATGTGTTGGTGGGTTAGTTCTGTCCATTTTTTAATCACAAA